GGCAGGGGGAGGCCGGATCCCCAGTATTCTCCAAGGCTCGGCCTTTGCTCCCGCTCCGTCTAAGGTCACTGATGTGTTCCTTCACCTAAGGGGGCGGGGAGAACAAAAGCTTTTGTGAAATTCCTTCAGAAAACAGAAGAAAAAGAGCAGACACCTTTGCGTGGAGCCTCCTAACTACCGGTAGCGCTACGTGGACTGTTAGGGCCATGGGAATTAATTACCTCCTGGGAAGAAATTTCCCAGGCTTCCTCCCTGATAGACTAGGGAGGAAGGGGCCTCCCTCCTGCTCTTTGTCTCTAGAAGGATTAAAGGCTGCAGCCTCAATTGGTAGTGTGTTGTCCTTTGTCAACCACAAACTCAGAACACCGAGAAAAACAATTTGTATTTAGCATTATAAAGAATCATCCTCCAAATGAAGGCAGCATAACATAAGTGAACAGGTTGAAACAGCTCAGATCTAGAGATCTAGGAAGCAAAATCTGATTTTAAGAGCTGGCAGTGTCATTTACAGCTGGCCATCTCGGAGCCCCAACGGTGTCTTTTGAAAATAGGAGTATTTCAGAGGGCTGGTGTGAAGATTAAATTAATCCAGTTGTTTTGCAACCTTGTAGGAAACTCGCGCGATGCATCCTCTACAGGATGCTAAAGTTGAGAGTTGCAGGAGGCTAAAGTTGAGAGTTGTAGAAAGGAAGCTGAAGGGGTTTTGCCAGCAGTCATCCCAAGCTGCAGGGCAAACAAGAGACAAGATCCCCCAAAGTCCCTTCGAAAGACTCTACACAGAGCCCCAGAGTGAGGAGGCCCCAAGGCCACCCACAGGCAGGACCGTGAGCAGGCAGGTAGCTGAAGAAAATCGGGCTCTGGGAGATTTGGAAGCTCTGACACAGCTGCGCTCCCTGCTCCTGAAGTCACAGTTCATAAAATTAGGGTTAGTCTCTCACAAGGTGCACAAATCCCTAACTGTCCATATTAGAATGGTTTACATGGTAAGAACCAAAGAAAAGGTTCAGATGCTCACAAAATGTCAAAAACACATGCCGCCCTATAGACAATAAATGACAAGCCATGTTTCTTCTTAATAATTTGGAACAGATAGAGTAACTATTCTGTAAATTCATCTTGTTCCGTTTGGTTCTAATTTGACATTTTAGGTGGGTGTGATGGTGCACGCCTGCAATACCAGCATTCAGGAGCCTGACGCAAGAGGATCGCCCATGAATGAGTTGGAGGTCATCACGTGCAGCACAGAAAAATAAATAGCATAGTTTGAATTTAATTTAATATATTTTTTTTTGTACCAGGGATCAAACTTGGGTCCTTATGACTATGAGGCAGGTGCTTGGAGCCACTGAGCTCAATCCCCAGCCCTCCTTTTCTTGAGGCACAGTCTTGTTATGTTGCCCATGCTGGTCTCACTTGGTGGGCTCAAATGATCTCCTTCCTCAGACTTCCAAGGAGCTGGGACTGCAGGTATGTGCCATCATACCTGGTTTTATTTTAAAATTGCCGGTTACATGGAAACACTGTTTACATCAAAGGTAGTGTGGTGGTACACACCTGTGATCCCAGCACTCTGGGAGGCTGAGGCAGAGGGAACGCAAATTCAAGCTCAACCTGGGCAACTTAGTGATTTAGTGAGACTCTGTTTCAAAATAATAAGGGCTGGGGATGTAATTCAGTGTGAAGGCCCTGGTATAACAACAACAAAAAAAACTTTATATCAAAACACCCCCATACCTACATTGTTGAAGAATACCAAATTAAACATTTGCCTATTTTTGTTTGCTCTCGAGTAAGTACAGACAAAGGGATAGAACAAAACAACACCATAGTAACAGAAACAGATTGGATAATGGTGGCCAAATTACCAGGTTTCAAATTCTGGCTTTCTTACTTCCTAGTTTTGTGGCCTTAGGCAGATTATTTAATCCTCTGGTAATCTCCCCTTTCAAGTGAGGACACAGTACTCAAGATACCTCCCTCATAAAGTTGTTGTGAGCAGTAAACAAACTAAATACACGTATTGTTTAAGAGCAGTACCTGGTAAGAAGTGCAGAAATGCTGACTGTGTTATATTATTTTCTTCTGGAAGACATTTACCAATCCAGTCCCAGACTATTACTGTCATGCAAATTCACAAAATGTAAGAAAGACCCATGAGCAGCAAAAAATTCCGTAAACAGAAATGGGAGAATTCTAATCTCTACATGCAAATTCAAAATGTAAGAAAGACCCATGAGCAGCAAAAAATTCCGTAAACAGAAATGGGAGAATTCTAATCTCTAATTCATCTCAGTATTTATTGAGCATTTATTCAACTTCTGCATGGGCACCTAGAAATGTAGCAATGAGTGAGATGCAGTCCTCTCTCTAATGGAACACAGAGCCTGGCCACCAGAAGAGCCCTAAATAAACTTCTACAGTTCAGTGTAATAAGCTGAAAAAGCAGCATGCACTAATGGTGAGCAATTCATTCTCATTGAAGGCACAGAAAGTCAGGAAAGGGCCAAGGATGCCTTTGAAGCTTCTTGCTAGAACAGCTGAAAACAGAGTGAAACCATTCACCAAATGAGGAAGGTAACAGGAAGAAAACTTGTTTGATCTTGGGCATTTTGAGTTCTAGGCATCTATGACTTTTCAAGTAGAGATCAGAAATAGGCAGGTAAAAGATAAAGCAAGATATCCGGAGAGAAGTCTGGCCACTTCCTCTCAGGAGTCAGAAGTGTCTGTGGTCATACAATCTTTGGAGGATAAGAAACTGCGGAGGGCCAGCACACAGAATGTGCAGCAAAGGCAGCCAGGACACTGCTGTGCACAGAGGGAAACCCACGGAGTTAGCCAAGGTGCTTGGCGGGGGAAGTGGGAAGCAGGTGACAGCCAGGCCAAAAAAAAGCGCTAACTAGGAGGGCACAGTCTGCATGGAGAATTCTGAGAGACTTAGTAAAAGGGTCAGGAGACCATTGGATGAGGCAGTAAAGGAGGCACTAAAGTGATTTCTTGTGAGCCTGACAGCTGAGGAGTGAGGGAGGGTGTAAGAGGCAAAGGGAAGGACAAGGCAAAGAACAGAGAGATGGTTCTTTCAGTTTTGCAGAAAGAACAGGAAAAACAAACCAAATATAAGGTTTTTGTTGTAGCTTATTTGCTTTTTATTTGTTTTCAGTGGGTAGCACACATGCACACACATAGGTATTAAATATTATGTGTTTATTATATATATAGGCACATTACCATCAGCCTTATAATTCAATTTGTTTTGCGGGACTCAAAATTGGTAGTAGACAACAAGAAGTCCATACACATGCATAGCATGTATTATTAATCATGATAGTTAATCAAGATGGACTTTTCCCCCTCTATAATCTGTTTGCCTTGAAGGACCAGTAGCCTTTAATCATGGTCTACACCCATTACTACAAGGTACATGCTAACGTCCAGATCATCCCAATAGAGGCATCGTGAATATGTTCACAGCAAGATTTACTAGTGATGCGGTAAAGAGCTGTGTTATTCAGTGTTCACTCTGAGTATGGGTAAGATATGTACGCATACACACACACATATAACCAGTAGGTCTTAGTGAAACTTTTGCATATAGGTGCATGTGCACAAGGAATAGTTTGTAGACTCTCAATGCTGACCACAGCAGAGTGAATTGGGTATCATAGTGCTAGAGCCTAACTCAGGTAGAGCCTGTGCTTTAGCATGAAAAGAGCTAGGGTCTTGTGATGACAGATGCTTTGTGAGACAAAAGTAGGGTCTTGTGATGTAGAGGAATATCTGTAAAAGTAGGAGAGGCAGAAATGTGAAAATTAAAGGAAAGTTAGCAGAGTTGCTTGGATATAATGTGAAAGTTATCTAGCCACATCTTCCTTTATTATAAAATGTTTAAATATTACTTTTGTTTATGGATAGTACTATGAAAACAAATATAACTAAAATAAACAAGGATATATAAAAACAAAAATATTATGGTGGTAGCATAAATATTCTGAATGTGTATAACTAAATGGAATGTAGATTTAATAAGGAGACTTAAAATTGTATGAGAACTATTATGAACCATATTTTTACAATGACTGCAATTCTACTGAAAAAAAATGTCTTCCTGTAAATTTCAAGTGATAAAGGAATCTCCCTAGATAGTTTTCATTCACTTCTCCCTTTACTGGGCCAATATTTCTTTTTTTTTTT